ATAACGGCATTCTGATCAATAACAGTAGTATTGTTCACTGTTAAAAATGTTCAATAAATTTTAGTTAACAGAACACCTAAGAACACGAGTCGGAATCACTACGAAAACGAATTAGTTGAACTCGAACCTAAATTATTTGTAAACAGCAAACAAGTTAACTCTTAATGCACAAATGGAAGCAAATGTATATAAGGGAAATGCAAATACATTTCAGAATCAGCCTTCGTTCAGGGTATTTAACAAGTCAATAGAGCACTCCGACGACTCACTTTTTACCTTTCTAAACGATGTCGATTCCGAGTTGTTGAAGGACGAGCAAGTCTCGCAATCGCAGGTTTTTACATCGTATATCTCTAGATTCACAGCAAAAGATCCACGTACTCAGCAATTGACAAGTTTCGCCATTTATGATCACACAACGAATCGGCTGCCATATGAGTTTCCCAATCCACAGGAGCGATATTCTTCGCTAACTGCCCCACAGCAGGCCGCCTGTGTACGCTTACTCCTTGCCTGGCAGCAAAACTCGGCAGAGAGTGAGGATGACTTTATCGTATGGCGTGTTACGAATGGAAAGCGGGTTAGCGAGCAGCAATTGGTACAAAAGCACATACTTGACTATGTCAATGCGCAGAAAGAACGAATCTACGCGCCAATGAAGCCGCTGGTGCTGCTCTATGGCAAATGGTTCGTGAGGAGAATGCAATATGTGCTCCGCAGGCTACCCAATCGTAGCTACTCAACTCATTCGGGTCTGCCACAGCTGTCACAATGCAAGACTCTTCATGCACAGGTGGCCAGCATGGAAAACATCCATCTGATCTGTCACCGGGGGCAGGTCAGACTGTGGCCAGAGGTGCGGATGCCAGAGCAGGAGCTGAGTAACCTGCGTATGCGGTTGGAGCGCTATGCATATGCAGGATCAGCTGATGAGCCCGCTTCCCATATGGTTGCAGCCGATCTGGAGCAGCAGTTGCAAGAAGCATGCAACGATGTGTATGTTTTGCCCTTAGAATCGTTGCTGTTCCTATTGATACCCGGCGCATATGCTGACTTGCCCACAGAGGTTTTAGTGAGTATTCGTGAGTTGCCAGACAATGGACACAAATGCATTCAATTCGAGGAGCCTATGCCGGCGCGCAGCTGCGGCTGGCACACGAGTAGCCGGCTTCTGACGACTGCCTATGCAGCCTATGGAGCAGCTCAGTGGCTACAACTGCCCGATGATGTGGGCCAAAGAAGAAGGCATACGGTCTTGCAGAACTCAGAGCCGGAACACCGTCGTGCGGATAAAGCTATAATGGAGTATAAGCTCCTGCCAATCGACGAGGAAGCTCCAATGGTGACTGAAGTGAAAGCCAACTGCGCACTAGTCAGCTGGAAGCTACGAGCATCAGAGTCAACAGATAGTTTGTCGATCTTTAGCAGCCTCTCAGTTGCAGCTGTACGCGATGCTGCGGCCAAAGAACCCCTTGGCTGCCACCTCATCAAGCTGGAGAGTAAGCCGGAGTGTGGCTGTGAAATTATGACGAAGTACGAGATGGTCAGCATCTGGCTGCAGCTTCAACTGCTCCAAAGCAACGTGGGACATTGCTCACGCATTTCTTTGCAAGACATGCAGCCGCTGTTAGAGGAGAAGGTAAGGCTGAGTACATTGGCCCAGCAGCTCAACGAGTGGTATCACATAAGCATGCCGGACCTGCTCAGTCAGCTAGCAGAGTTCCTCAAGCTGCTATCTAGCATATCTCCCGGGGAATACCTTCTACGCTATACCAGCAAGTACAAGGATAGGTTTTTGCTCTGTCAGCCCACTGCGGATAACACGTCCATGAGCTTCAAGCTACATGATCTGCTGATGGGCGCCTCCTCACCCAACAACATCGACTTCCTCACACAGAGCAGCACCTATTTGCCCATTACGCCGCTGCTTTGCAGTCGACTCCACGAGCAGCTGCAGCTCCTGCCCTGTGCCTTTCCGGCCAAAGTGAACGCCAAGAGGGGAAGGCCTTGCAAGGCGCCCGAGGTACCGACACCGCTAGTCCAACGCGTACGCATGAATGCACAAAAAAAAAAGAAAACGAATAGCAAAAATTCACGCCAACGCAAAAAGGATGACGCCAAGTTGCAGCAGACGGTAGACAACGAGCTGGAAAAGTTCATGTGCCTTTAAAAAATACGTCAACTACATTGATTTCATTTAGTATTTATTTTTTTGGTTTACAAGTCGAACGTGTTGCTCTATTTTTATTTTTATTTTTTTTTTCTTCTATTATAGTTTTATTGCAGCTTTTGTTGTTGACTCTATAGCGCATGTATACGTATTTATTGAATTTATAATACTAGGATGTAGTCCAGTTCTCTATAGATAGTTGCATACATAATGTTTAAGGTATATATAAAAAATGTTTCGTTTTACAAGTGCAGGCAATTAACAACTTAGATCATAATCTTTAAGCATTTCGAGACTCCAAGGACTAATCAAATTATATTTTCATTCCACAAATCCAAAATGCTTTTAATTCGCATTATCAATAGG